AGCTATCACCGCTACCACTGGTATAGCCCCAACAATATAAAATGTACCAAGAAAGGAGAAGAAAAAATTGAAGAAAATGATGACGCGAAGCAAGATAGAACAAGTGTCCTTCTCAGCTGAAAATCCAGCTGATAATCCCAAAATCTCAGTAGTGAAGAAAAATCAGTGGGTCAGTTTGATAATTTCTAAAAAATCAATAGTGAACAAACATAACCAAGAATAAGTTTTTAGTGAAATGAGTGTCTAAAACGTGAGTTGGATCTGATTTTTGTTAGGGTTTTTCAAGTGGGTCAGTTTGATAATTTTTGAGAGACTGAGAGAGGAGAAAACTGGAAATGGGTGTGAAATAAAGAAAGCCCCAAAAGCAAAGTACTACACAACAAAGAAAAAATGAATAAAATCTGCAGCTATAATCAGAACAATGGGAACATGAAAAGGCAAATAGATAAAACTATCAAATGGAAAAGGGAAACGGGAAAAGGGGAAGAAGAAGCAGTAGCAAGGATAACTTAAAATACATCGATGAACAAAATGCTATGCCCGATCAGACTTACAAGCTGGGTATAACCCGGTTCGCTGATCTGACAAACGAGGAGTACCGGTCCATGTACCAAGGTACTAAGATCGATGGTCCACGTAAGTTGTCTAAGAACCAAAAGTGACCGTTATGCTCCTAAGGCCGGAGATAGCTTGCCGGAGTCAGTTGATTGGAGAGAGAAATCTAAGACTACTTTAAACCTGGAAGTTCTCTAAGACTACTTTCAACAATTAGTAATATTTATACTCTTTACTAATTAAAATTATTTCAATATACTCACTGATATAATAATAATAATAATAATAATAATAATAATAATAATAATAATAATAATAATAATAATAATAATAATAATAATAATAATAATAATAGCAGTAGTAGTAATAATAATAATAGCTACTGCTCGTGCAAGATATTAAAGTTTTTACAATTGCCTTAAATTGTTGTCTAAAAAACAATAATCGTCATAAAAAGTACATAACCTGATCTTATGTTATTACTATTATACTATTTTTGTTCAGTCCATCTAACCATCTTTGGTTTAGTCAAAATGATAAACCAAAATTAGAATCAATCCCCAATGTTGGATTGCCGCAACATAGTTTCTCATGTGCTAACTTTACATAGCACTTTTCATGAAAGAGTAACCGAAACAAATGAAAGGAGTATACATCAAAAATATCATCTATAGTGAAGTATTAGGCGATACAGGCTTCATTACATGTTTGTACCTCATAAAATCAAAATAAGCAAAGCACATGTATCTAATTAAACTTTGATTGTTCATCTTTGTAGGTTCAAATGGTATCTGTGAGCACGTGATTTTTGTTTTTGCGCGACAANAAAAACTCCACCCGCGCATCTAACCCCTCGGGGCTGGGGGCGCGCAAAAAGGAGGTGTGACAGTATCCAATCATCTTGACATCAACTAACAAGTCACCATACAATGATCTATATTAAATATTCACAAAAACTTGTACTTTATTCTTTCATGTATAATTATTTATTCAAAATTTTCTACTAGTATTAATGTTAAAAGTGGGCAGTTTAAAACTTAAAAGTTGAATTATTAAAATGCCCTTCTAAATAACTTTAATATCCTATCTAAAAATAAAATAAAAAGAGAAATAAATTATTATTTCTAAAGTGTCTTTTTAGAAAAAGTTGTCCCCTTTAATTCGCTCTCTCCAATTTGCTTCTAGTGGCATCAGTATAGTATAAATTAAATTTATTTCTTAAATGAAGAATTAATGTTCCACGTCAGCAAATTAAAAATTTCCTATAAAAATATTTTAAATAATAAAAAACAACTAGAGTAGTGGTCTTTAATTCACTCTTGCGAGGCACTGACGAGGGGAACAAAAAGCTAGAGCTAAGTGTGATGAGAAGTTCTATTATTTTCGGGTACTGGGTATTTGTCTGAAATAACTTTATCACGCATGTGTTTTTTTCCTTATGTGATCGTTATATATTGCTTTACATTTAAAATTAAGTAATTTGAGATGCAATATTCCCACAATAATGGGACTCGTTGACTCTTTATATTGCTTCCTCAAATATAATATCTTCTTATTCTGTTAGACTTTATGTAATATCTCTAATGTTGTGTAACTTGTGTTGCTTAATTTGTATATCACTAACTAAATTAGAGCATAAAAAGTGCAATCGAACTCATGTACAAAATGTTTAGATACACAAATGAATTAAAACGATTGAATTCCTATACGGAAGTATGATATGATCATATGGAATGTTATTATGGAGCTAAAGTTACATAAAGCACTAACTTGTGTTGTTATGGCGCACAAACTAATGCAACAATAGGGGAAGTGTTGCCTGTATTCAGCCTATTTCCCTTATATTTCTGCAAAGCGGCTGTTCCTATGTATGTATATCCTACTACTCATACATAATAAAATTAAGACCAACAAAATACAAAAATATTAGGTGATCGAGGTGATCAAGGATCAATTTTGTGTTGTGAAAAAATAAGAAAATTTTGTGATCTAACTCACGATTTGTGAAACAATGGCTAGGCAAATACTAGTCATTTTGATCATCTTTTCACCATACTCAATCAAAGGAGAAATCACACCTTCAAAGGCATCTTCACAATCTGAAATATCAGTAATAGCAGCACTGAGCATAGTGCTCGTACGTCCACTGTCATGAATACGCAGAGCCTCAATAGCTTGCTCGTAATTGTACAAAACAGTATCCCAACTATCCAAGCAAGTTTTAAGCATTTTCTTAGTGTTAGGGGGAGTAGCAGGGGATTCGGAAGCTCTTTTCACAGCTGCAAATCCCAATTTCGCAAACTGATCGCTTGCCTTCATAGCTACTTCAAGTGCTTTTTGTACATTGACAGCACCTCCACGCATAAATGGACCAACAGTTGCGGTGCAAAGATCAGGGTAGTCTGTATTGTCGCATATTTTCTTTATAGTAGTATCATGATGAGCACTTGCACCATCGTCGTTTTGAGTATTGGACATAAGAGAAGAAGATAGACCGGAGGCGGCTGCTTGATCACTAGAGGAAATAGAATCAGTGGAAATAAAAGAAAATTCTGATGGTTCAAAGGAAGACGATTCTGATTCTGATTCTGATTCCGATTCTGATTTAGATGGTGAGGGTGAAGGAGCATCTGAAGGAGGAAAAGAGATGCCAGAATTAACTGATTCTGTTTCTGATGACGGAGATATTGCTGAGTGTTCATATCCAGGAGGGTATGAAGAATGAGTAATTATTGAGTTTACTTTTGGTTTTGGAGAAGAAGCTGCAGGCTGCATGTTTAGTGATGAATCAATGGATTGTGATGAAGTGAGGGTGAAGAGAAAGAAGAAACAAAGGAACATAGGCTCCATTTTTTTGATGTTTTGAGATCAGATAATGGTAAAGGGGAGGAATGAATGAAGCTTTACATACAAAAATAGAAAGGAACAAGAAGAATAGGATGAGGAAGTAATTAAGGGAGGGAGGAGAGTTGAGTTACCGTAGAAAATAGGTTGTTGTCAAAGAAAATAGGAGGACCTTTAAAATGTTAACCAATTAAGCAACCAGTGGCAGATCTACAATGGCGGCACTGTGTGCATTATTAGCACACTTTTGGCTCATATTACATAGTACTTCTCGGTTTCAAATTAGACGAGATACTTTTCTTTTTAGTCTGTTCCAAAATAAATGACATATTTCTAAATTTGAAAATAATTCAACTTTAAACTCTTTATTTTACCCATTTTACACTTAATGAGAAGCTTTTATGACCATACAAATATCATGGCCCCACAAAGCTTTTACCCCTTAAGCTTTTAAGAGTACAAGTTTCAAAAGTCCTCTTTTTTTTCTTAAACTTCGTGCCGAGTCAAACTACCTCATCTAAATTGAAACAGAGGAAGTATATGAAAACTTTTCTGTATAACTTATTAAATCCATACTAATCTTTATATAGGATTAATGGATTAATTACACATGCATTGACTTGGAAAACTACTTATATAGCCTATATTAAATAAGTAGCAAGAGGCTGTAAAAATGCAGGGTAAGGCTGCGTACAATAAATTTTGGTGGTCCGGTCTTTCGTCGGACCCCGTACATAACGGGAGCTTAGGGCGTCGGACCGCTTTTTTTTTAAAGGGAGGTTTATCTTGAACATCACTTTCTTATAGTTGTAAAATAAAGACGATAAACATCAGAAAATAGAATGAGAGCTACCAAAAACCAAGTGAGAGATGCTCACTCATATTAGACTGAAATGTTTGTTAGTTATCATTTGATATGCTCTTATCCAAGTGTTGTTAATATGTGGTGACGCCACCTTATAAAAGTAAGACATAAGCATACAAATAGCATATCAATGCTTTACAATGAAGCCACAGATTGAAGAGTTCCAAAATGTTTATTTACTGCAGCAACTCATGGTGATAGGAATTACAGAGGTTCAACATGAGGGTACATAATACACACATAGCATCGACATGTTCAAAGTACACATTAATATAGAAGCTTGATCCAACATCAAGCTTAGAAAACAAACAAGATTTTAATATAAGCTTACATTTCAATGACAAAATAAACCCGCAATTAGTCATCTGCATGCTTCACAACAGTAACAGGACACGTAGCGTTATTCACAACATAGTTGCTAACGCTGCCCATGATAGCCCTGTAATAAAAAGGAGGAAAAACTAAACGTTAGAATATTCCCATTATTTCAAACAGTGGGTAGTAATGCCAATTGCTAAATGATCATGAGATTTTTGCTGAAATCCTAATGGATAGACAGTTTCCAAGTTTATTCAATCTATGCAAATACATTTGGAAGTTGGTAGCATGAGAAAAGTGGAATCTTTCTCAACCAAAGCTCCGCGGTTGTTGCAAAAGAAAAGGCAATGAAGCGACTAATTTCCATTTTGACATAATACACAACATGACATTCAATCACAAAAGAAATTATAGAAAGGATTAGACCTCTTGAGCTTTCCAAGCCCTCTGTTCCCTATGACCAGACAGCTCAAGGGAGTTTTGTCAATTGCTTCACATAACTTCTCTCGAGCATCTCCCCAGTAAATTTTCAGGACTACCATTATCTGCTAACAAAAGAAAAAAATGTAAGAATACTTAATCTAGGTATGCCTACTGAGAAACACCGGATCTCGTAAAAGAAGAGAAAATATCACCTCCTTCTGTCTAGCAGCAAGGGTTACCATATCCAATGTTTCTGGGTCAGGGTTAACCCCATACTTCTTCATTGTGTGGGCATCGCAAAACTCGGATAAAGGAATTAAAGCTGCAAAAAGCTCCCAAAAAATGTATCAGATATTCAACCAATAACAAGCCCAAGGTGGCAATTTTTCTACCTTCTCAAGGTAGGGGTAAGGTCTGCGTACATACTGCCCTCCCTAGACCCCAGTTGTGGGACTACACTGGGTATTTTGTTGTTGGTTCTCAGGAAGCTAGTATAACTCTTTGCAGCTAGACATGTAAAAAAAGCNGGGGGGGGGGGGGGGGTTTAAATTATCCATCTCTACTGCTTAGAGCATGGATGTAATATATTGGTTAACCACAAAATTATAAAACAGAGGAGATATAACTTTTGCACCGACGTATATCTCTCTGTTATGTAATTTTGTGGTTAGTAATATATTACATCCATACTCTAAGCAGCAGAGATAGATGCTTTAACCAAAAACAAAGTCTTGGTGAATGAAAACACTCCGAAAGCACATCAAAAATCTGTTTTTTAATGAAATCAAGAAAATCCTACACATGGACATGCAATTTAACCCTATCCAATTCTCCAGAATTCGCAAGTCCATGACATCCAACCAACAAGGGCAAAAGGCAGATATTTTTCTAGGTACATCCAGGGGTGTACGCAGGATTTCTCATAAGTGGTATCGATATTTAAAGAAATAGATGAACAATCCAATATAATGAAATCATATAGTAAAAAATACAGTTCAAAACCGATTAATAAAGTATATTACCACAACTTTCCTCAGCGAGTTTTTATTTACTCTTTTGAAATGGACATAGCACTTAGTACTTCTTTTTGTACGTATGAACCAAACATAATCACCAAAAGACTTCTCATTTTTCGATTTTGCAATTAATTCTTGATCAATTTGCGAGTAGCACACAAAAATCCCCAAATTTGCAAATTGCAAGGAATGAGTGATTTTATTTTTGTAGTTGGGGTCTTACGTTTGATGAAATAATCAAGTTCGAGAAGACGTTGAAACTATATTTGCCGCTGAATTAAACCAAACTCATATTTGGCCCCTTGATGTGGTTTTCCCTTAAAGCTAAGAGGTCAATAATTAGGGCTTTGCTTTTGTTCGACACCTAGACCCAACGATGCTCAAAACTTCAAAAAACACATAAATGTAAGTGTAACTATTGAGGTTTGAACCCGTGACATTCCACAAAAATATTAGGTGTGTAACCGCGAGAGATGAGACTTACCATGAGTTAACAATGTCATTTTAATCTATTTTATTGTTATTTAATGTCCTACAGCAACTATGAACTATTAGCTCTGGCCAAAGCTACAAACGCCATCAAATACTTCAATCTAGACAAAAGAAAGCAGGATCTCTTGCAAAAGCACCAGTATTTGCAACAAAGATTGTAAGGTACAGTATTTGAGTTAGTTATTTCACCCAAACACACAAAAAAGGCTTAGACGACGACCAACATATAAATCGATCATAGAAGAGAAGAGAAATGAGAACATACGAGAACCAGTGGCCTCCCAGAGCTGCATCTCGCCTTCTTCATAGTGACCTTCAGGACGAACAGTGACCAGAATAAGGTGATCCCCTTTACGAAGGATGTTGTCAATGGCCCATTTCAGAGCTTTCTTGCTGCATGCTGAGAAATCCACTGCCACCCCTACAAATCTACCTCCTTCCATCCTCTCTATTCAACAATCTGAAGATGGCCTGGAGTTTTCGCTTTCTTTTTCTTTTTCGGTCTTGATTGATATATCGTTGTAAGAATGAGCTAGTGAAGACTTTGAACAATATAAAATAGGAAAGGCAACTGGGACACGACCATTGAAGAAACAACTGAGGTGGTAGTGCGATGTTGATTTGGCAATTAAGTTGTCGCATATTTGCCACCACACATAAGAGCCAAAAATGTTGTGTTGGGGCCCACTTTTTATGGCTGATGATATTTCTTCTTCTCTGTCTTTCTAAAGAACAGGGCGGGTGTACCTGTTCAAAGTTTTAGTGGGCTTGGGCATAAGAATTGTGAAATTTGAGAAAATAAAATATAAACATTAAGTAAAGATAGTATTTAAAAGTTAGAGTTATCATGGAATACAAAATATTATTTGGGGCTGTTTTTAAATTTTTGTGAGTACTTTGAAGTAAAAAAAGAGTTAAAAAATATTTTTTTTTTGGAGTTTTTAAAATTTTAAAAAAATACCAAATTCAACTTTCAAGTGAAATTTGAAATTTTCATGACCAAACATTAATTCCGAAAAAAGTAAAAAATTTCCGGAAAAAGTAAAAAAAAATGGCCAAACGGGCCCTAAATTAGTACAAATCGGAAAGTTTTTTTTTTTTTTTTTTGCTTAAAGACGAGATATTATTATTATGCATGAAATTAAAGAGAGTTATTACAGTCCGGGACTGATCTTAACGAAGCAGTCTCTAGTAAGTCTTTGCGAAAAGTAGAGAAAGCAAATAAAGGTGGTTTACTTCACAAGTGATATTCACACTCAGCGTTAGTAGGTGAGTTACAGTTGCTCCCATATTGCGCTAGTGTGTGCGCCACTTAGCTTCCTTTGAGGTAGACATTCTTACATCCGGCTGGCCTACTGCATCGAGCAGGAACCTGCAATCATAAAGAATATGAACATTAGCTTTGTTGTGAAGTTTGTCCTGTAATTGTAGAGTAATATCTGACAATTTGTTTCCATTATAATCAATATTTGATTGTTTGTGAAAGCAAGTTCCAATCTCTTTAGTAGGGCAAGAATTTATCTTTGGATTGCTAATGAGACCATTATGTGACCGGAGAATCCATCAATAGGAAAGGCATTGCCTCTGCTGAGATTGAACTTCAATCTTTCAGATTTATCATTCTGAAGAATCTTCAACTGTTAGGCCATCTCTATCAAGTGGCGATTGCAACACTTATATTTGATAATTTAATATTTGAGTTCTTAACATTAAATTTATTGTATTTTAGAATTATAAATTCAAATTTAATGTAGCGACACATAAGATTTCACCAGCTTTAAATACATCTTTATATTTGATTGGTTCCATTTAATAACCAAGTTGTTGTATCCTCCAATATGATCAGCCACTTAATGATACATTTGAGTTCTACTTACCTTGATACAAGTCAC